CCTGCCTCCTGGGGAACGGCACCGCGGCGGCTGCAGGCTGAGAGAGGAAGGCTCCAGGCCCCGCCCGAGCCGAGCTGGGCAGGAAGCGCTGGGCTAGGTCACAGCTGGGGAGGGGGCGTGTGAGTGCGCGAGGGGCACCTCCCTCTGCCAGGCGGAGGGGCGGGGGCTCCGACTCCTGCTAAGCCAGTCGCCCAGCCCCCCAGCAGCTGCCACCTGCCATGTGCTTGGGTGCAGGTGACCCCGAGGGGCCCCCAGGGATGGCGTGTTACCAGATGGGCCCCAGCGGGGGCATGAATTGCAGCTGGCCCAGCCCACCTGGCCCTGAGGCCAACACCACCTACACCCTGCACTACCAGAGCCTGAAGCTGTGAGTATGACCCCCAGGAGTGGGGGCCTCCCCCTCCATGGCTCAGCCAGCCCCAGGCTCCCACAGCCGTCCCTGGGCTCTGCCCCAGCTCTGGGAGGGGAGTGGGGTGCAGTGGTTAGAGCACAAGCTGGGATCCAGGGCTCCTGGGTTCTATTCCCAGCCCTGGGAGGGGGAAGTAGGGTGCAGTGGTTAGAGCACGAGTTGGGAGCCAGGACTCCTGGCGTGTGTTCCTAGCTCTGCCCTGTCATATTCCGTGGCTGACCAGTGTATTTCCTGGGTTCACCCCCCCGAGGCCTGGGTGCTATTCGTGGCTCTGAGGAAAGGGTGGGCTTTGGGGTTGGAAGAGGGAAGACTGGTGATGAGTGTTAACTAGTCGGAGGGGTTGTTCCGGCTCTGGGGGGGAGTAGGGTGCAGTGGTTAGAGCACAAGCTGGGAGCCAGGACTCCTGGGTTCTATTCCCAGCCCTGGCCGGGGGGAGTAGGGTGCAGTGGTTAGAGCACAAGGACACTTGGCGACCCATATTTGGGTCCCAACCCATAGATTGGGAAATCCTGATCTAAATGGAGCAGTAATTGTTCCCATTCTTGATTCCCTTCCTTTTAAATAAAGAATCCCTGATATTAGCCACATTCCAAGGGCTTGTACAAATATATAATGCTAAGTTGCTCTGATATTGTTGTGGTTTTTTTGTTGTTGTTGTTGTTGGGTTGGTTTTTTTTGTTTGTTTGTTTTGTTTTTTTGCAGGATCACCATGCTCTTTGCCGTGTGTTCCTAGCTCTGCCCTGTCATATTCCGTGGCTGACCAGTGTATTTCCTGGGTTCA